AGCGTGAGGAAGCTGGACCGCAGGTCGTTTCGGCGCTGGCGCTCCAGGATGTTGTGGTTCCGGCGGCGCTCGCTGTCCTCGGAGTCAGAGTTGCGGGGGCTCAAGCTCTTAGCCTTTGGGGGGATGACACTCTTGAGGGGACGCGGGGATGCCTCACTCTTGATCTTCTTCTGGGGTGGCGCGTCCTCGCTCTCCATGTAGGGCGAGGGGGCAGCGTAGTTGTGCTGCTGGTGGATGGGGACACAGCGTTTGAGGATCAGCTCACCCGCAGGCGCCCTCCCCGTGCCCAGGGCTGCGCCCTTGGGACGCACAGTGATGGTGAAGGTGGTGACAGCCTTGCTATTGGAGGAAGAACGCCGCTTCTCCACCGTCACCACGTCAATTTCTTCCTCTTCATCTTCCTCTTCGTCATCTTCATCATCTTTGAGAACAAGACGGGAGTTATTCTCATGGTGAGACTCATGAATTAAACATATAAAGTCTCTTACAACAGGTTCTGGCACTAGTTTGCTATTAACTATGGATCCATCACTTTAGGTCTCTTTAACATAAATATACTTGTAAGTACTTTTTCCTCCCCCCTGGCTCCTGGCACTTTCAGCCTCCGCTCAAACTTTAGCAAGTGGCAGAAACAGAAAAAAACCTTGGCTTTGGGGCCCCACGGAATCCTGGCTCCATCACACACGAGTTGCATGACACTATGCACGTTATTTCAACTTCCTAAGCCTCAGTTTCCTCAGCTATTAAATGGGAATGATACCACAGGGTTCTTGAGTTGGGCAGATAAGTTGTAGAGAGCTGGGCCTAGTAGACAGATGCTCAGTAAATGGTAAGCTGTTATCATCGCTGAGCCCCACAGGTTAATTTATATCTCCATCTCCACACAAGAATTGAGGCTTCTCATTTTAGGGGCCTCACTGAGCAATTTACACATGGCTGAGTTTGATTTTAAGTCCTCAAACAAATTTAAAGAACGATTTAATTAACTAAAGAAGAAAAGTAACTTGTCTTCCATGTACCCGAGTTCTAGACAGCAAGCAGTTTTTCAGCGAACAAAGATCAAACCTCAACTATAAGGCTGCAATCCACAGGAGTTCTAAACCCAAATATGGGAACACCTCTTCCCAAAGTCACCAATAATAACAGCAACAACAAAAACGTGTAGCATCCTGTGTGCATTTCCCCCTCTCTCCTCATTTACTACCACGCTGGGATAGAAAATTATTGTTTAAAATGCAAGCATAAAATCAAAACACATCTTCTGCTTGATCTGAAGGGGACCGGAAAGCTGAACAATTGCGGGATTTGTTCTAAAGCCGAAATGTGAGGCTGTTCCAGTCTGTGGGTCCCTTTAAGCCAATGTTTTGGTTTTCTGCCAAGAAGACAGCTGTTGGAAGGAAGTGCTTCCTCACCGAAAGCTGTCAAGGCACAGACATTAAAGGGACAGACTCATTTCAAACTGGAAGCTTATCACCAAGTTCCCTTCCAGGAGCCTCAGACGAATCCGTCCTCAGCTCTGAAGAAAATGTGGGCTTTTTATCCACCTGCGTTCTGCAAACAAACACTGGTTTTCAAGGTCCAAGAGAGCCCCAGCTCTCAGCTCCAAGGACAAGGGCTGTTCAGGCATTTGGGTAGAGTTCTTTACCTCTGGGGCCCCAGGCAAAGTCTCAGTTTAAATCCCACCCTTCAGCTTCAGACAGAGGCAGACAATAGAGCTAATCAATGAGCGCTCCCAGGGTGTGTGCATTCCTGGAGGGCCTGCGAAGTGTCCGCCCTCACCTTGAAGGGCATTAGGTTTCAAAACACAACTCCGATCTGAAATCAGTCCTGGAATGCTGGCTAGAAGACAAAACTGGACCCAGTTCTCACTGCACGCTGAAAGGAGGCGGCCCCTTGAGAATGTACACAACCGCTGTTGTACTGGCCGCCAGCTGCTGAATGAAGCGAGGAAGGGGTGGCCCCGCCACCCCCAGCCTTTCAGATCCTTGGCCCGCTGCTGGTCAGCATATCGCCGCCTGCTGGCCGCGTACCAGGAGCAAACAGCCCACCACCCACTGAGGGAGGGGGGAGAAGAGTGCCCAGGTTTGAAAAAATAAAATTGGTACTAGCCATCTGTGCAATCTCTCTAACTTCCTGCGCCCCAAACAGGATTTTGCACAGCGCTTATGTCGTCTCCGGGTGTCCCTCCTCCCTCGATCTGGGCCGCAGAGTGCCTTTCCACCCCGGCTAACAGGTTTCTACCTAGGCAATGAAGTCAGGGACCCCTAACCCCCCAACCGGCTTTAGACATTCAATTTTTCCTAATTTTATTCCTCAAGCTGAGCTGCAAAGAGAGGTGGGGGATGGGGTGAAGGCTAGCGATGGAGTCAGGCTCCCGGAGGGAGGGTGGAAGGAACTTCGATGGAGGTGAGACTTGAGAACACCCTATTAGCAGCTTTCACTCACCCTCTCCTTACCACGGGGAGCGGCTCGGAAAAAACGACCTCAGCCCCCAGCACTGCTTCCAAAATACCCTCCCCAAAGCCAAACCCATGTACAGTAACAAAGGGAGCGGGCCCCCAGCTCCAGTGCCCCAGGAGGCGGCCGGACTCCGGCGGTCTTTACCTGAGTCGCTCAGGGTGTCCTCTCCGGAGGTGCTGAGGGCCTTGTGGTCGCCGGCGCGCGGAAGGGCAGCCCCCAGGGCGCCGGTTGGGGCAGTGGCGCTCACCCCCGAGACGACCGCAGCTCCGGCCGCCGGGGCCCCGGCCGGGGCGGCGGGCGCGGGCGCGGGCTCGCGCTTGCTCACCGGGAACGGGAAGACCACGGCGGGGTCCACGCACTCGGCGGCCGGGTGGGCGAGCTCGGCGGGCAGGGCGGCCCCGGCGCGGCTCGCCCCCGCCGCCGGCCCGTGCCCGCGGCCGGCAGGGCTGGCGGTCCCCGCGCCCGGCACCGGGACAGCGGGCCCCGCGGCGGGCGGCCGGCCGTGCTGCAGCTTCTCGCTCACGGCGCGCTCCAGCTTCTCGCGGGCCGAGAAGCCGCTCCACATGCAGTCCTGGAGGATGACCGGGTTGGGGGTGAGGCTGCCCAGGCCCCCCAGACCGAACGCGTCCTCCTCGGCCGGGTTGCCCCACAGGTCGGCCTCGGGCAGCAGCATCTCGGTGGCCCAGTTCGAGGGCTCCGGGCTGTGCTCCGGGAAGGCACGGCTGGGCGACAGCGGGGGCGTGGGCAGCAGCTCAAACTTCTTCCAGATGTCCTCCCCCGGGGGGGTCGAGTCGGGGCCGCCGAAGTAGAAGTCATCTTCGTCCGGGTAGAAGCAGGGCTGCAGCGAGTCAAACTCGAGGTCTGGGTTCTTGCAGATCATCCCCGGCATGGTGGACGCGGTGCAGCTCGGCATCGGCTCGCCTCCTGGCCGGCGAATGAGGGCTGCTTTCCGCTCTGCTCTTTTTAGTTCGGGGGCTGCTTCCTTCCCGTGGGGGGCGCGGTGGGCGGGGGCCGCGCCAACCTCCGACACTGCAACCGACACACACAGCAGGAGACGGTTGGCGAGAGGCGCCGAAGGAGGGGACGAGCAGTGGGTGCCCCCTCGAACCCCGTTCCTCAATCTCCCCTCCAAGCCCCCCACTCCGCCCTGCGCTGCTGAAGGTGTAGGAAGTTCTGTCTCTCGTTCTCTCCCTCCCTCCTTTTGTGTACAAGCTGTCTACGACAGGGGGTGGGAGGGGGCATGCAGATGCGGGGGGTGGTGGCATGGCTCTGCAACTTTGGAAACTGCCATTTCATTCACACAAGGCACTGCCTGGGGGAGGGGGCGGTTCAAGGCTGCAGAATTCTAGCTCTCTCCAGCTCGCCGACAATCCCGGTTGCACCAATGCAGGGCCAGCTGCTCAAAGGCAGCCCAGGGCTCCAACCCAGCTACCGGCCGTAGGATTTGGAGGACCCTCAATCCCTTCTTTGTAAAATTGCAACCTCGAGAGTGCAAGAGATAGCGGGGGATTGAGGAAACTTTGCAAATGGAAAAATCCTCTTCTCTAGACTGAGACCGACAACAGACACCTAAATCCATAAACCTTCCCCCCAGGGCCCCCAAATTTGAGCAGACGCCCCTCAGCACTCACCCACTGCAGGGAGAGTCCTGCCAAGAGCTTATTTTGAACCTCTCTCACCCCACACCCCCGCTCTTCCAAACCCTCAACAACGTACGTCTTCTTCCTAGGAGAGGGGAGAACCTGAACACCAGTTCCCAGGAATGGTGCAGGGGCGCCAGCGCGGGGAGGGTCGCCGGGAGAGCAGCGTCTCCTCCGATCCCGTCGTGACCCAGATTACCACCGCGGTGGCCTCGCCCTGCCTAAAACCTCCCTCTTCTTCTCCTGGGGGCACCCTTTGGAGAAGAACCCCAGTTTTGAGGTGGGGACGCACCGGTTCCCCATCAGCTCAAACACAGACAAACGTTCTAGAGAAGGGCGAATTTCTTTTCGACGAAGCCATTACACCCCCTTGGCAAAAGCAGTAAAAGGATTAGGGCGGGTCTCTTCCAGTCGTAGTGCCTGTGGGGCTGGAACTGGCTTTTCAGGGAAAACCAGGAGATGGTTTTGTTTCGGAAGCAGAAACAGTCCCCCGGGCATATTCGGGTGCCCTGTGCGCAAGCCGCGATCCCGTCCAGGGCTTGTCTTCCCGCCGCGCTCGCCGCTCCCGGGGCGCCGGGCGGTTTGCAACCCAAGCTCCTTACCTCCTGCCGACTGCCGGGGATCCAGAAGCGATTCCGTGCGGGGGTCCCCGGGTGGCCTGGGCGGGGGGAGGTCCTCGGGTGGCTGCAGTCTGTGCGCGCTTGCGCCTGGCTAGCGCTAGCTCGGCTGCAACCCAGTTCCCAAGAGCCCCCCGCATCCACCCAGCGCGTCCAGACAGATGACTGTCACTGGCTGCGCTTTGAAGCTCGGGGGATATTATTAACTGAAAAATCTGACACACCCGGGGGGCGGGGAGAGAAGGGGGCTGCGGCACAGACAAGGGGGAGGGAGAAAGGCAGAGGAAAGCGGCTTTACTCCGCCCTCTTGATTTCCATGCAGGGAGGGGAGGCGCCAAGGCTTTCGCGCCAAAAGCCACTTGCTTTTCTTCTTTGCAGAGAGGAGGCTGCAAAGCTGGGAAGCCCGGGCTGTGCTCCTCCCGCCCTTTTAGACCCCCGGGCTTGCACCCGGTGCACTCCGCGAACCAGCTGCGCGTCGAGCGGTGCAATGCGGCACCCACCCTGCAGGCCTGGCAATTGCTTGGCATTAAAAAAAAATTTCCGGAGGGCTCCGGGGGAGTGTGTTGAGGGGGGTGGGGGTACGGAGGCTCCTAACCCAGCCCCCGCCTTGACTGCGTTTGTTTGCAGCTGTGCGCCAGGCCAACGTGGAGCAAAGCCTTGCGGAGCGGTTGCTGGTGTTGATCTCAAAGGGACGCTAGAACATGGGTGCAAAACGGGAGGAAGAGGACGTGCCTGTTTGGAAACGAGACAGCAGGATGTTTCCAGTTTTAAATTGAAAGGAGAGGGGCGCCCCCCCTGTTTGAAAATAAATAAATAACTGTTGGCTACGAGGGTGGCGCCGCTGTGGTTTCTTCGGCCGAAGGCGACACCTCGCGGAGGCCAAGCAGAAAGCGGAGCTACTGGGCCTTGTCTTGGGGGTTGAAGTGGGGCCACCCCGCAGCTCTCCCGCCGCCCCCGCGGGACCAGTCCTCACTGCGCGGGGGGTGGCTGCTCTGCTTGGCTTCCGAGGGGAATGGGCTTCAGACTCCCGCAGCGGGCCCCACGGGCTCCCACGTGAGCCTTTTCAAAGCGAGCGTTTTCCTGAATGAAGGAGAGGTAGATCAGGTTCACGTAGAAGGAGCTGCGGTCCGCCCCTCCCGGAGACCGAACTTCGACTCAAAAACCTTGACTCCAGATTGTTGGAGGCAAAAAGGAAAGCAGCTATCGCCCCTTAGCCTCTTTGTGCCTCAGTTTCCTCAGTTGTGAAATGGAATTAGTATGGTGCTTACTGCATAGGGTCGTTTTGAGAAATAAGAGTTACAAAAGCTATTAGAACAGAGCCCAGCTCATAAGTGTTTCCGTCATTATTGTCACTACCAGTCGTGATAGTCTTCCAGGGAAATTAACAGCCCAGCCCCATAGGCAGCATTTGTCCTCTCCTATCCCACCCGCCACTATGAAATCCTTTTTACTCTGGTCAAGCTTTCCTACAGGTGGGGGCGGGGGGGGGGGGGCGGTGATGGGATGGGAGATTATTGCCGCTGTCCGAAAACTCCCCAGGAACATCTCGGGGCTCCTGGGCAACCGCCTTCACAACCAAATACATAATGAGGTGGGGTTTTGCCTTGGCAAACATTCTTCGGATGGTTTGGAGTTGGGGAACCTGGACCCCGGGTTGGGGTGGGAAAGCTTCTTCCCCTCCCTTTTTCGAAAGTGGAAATGCCACTCACCCCTGGCCATTCACCTCAGCATTCAAACTAGTTACGGATGAGGATGCAGAGGGTCAGGGGGCAGCCTGTAAAGTGCGCACGTATTAGCATTTGTGAAGACTCTTCCAGCCCTTACCCAGGATGCCTACATAATTCTGGGAAGAGCGGCAGATTCCCAGAGTTCTAGGAAGTGGCCCATGAATGAGGATGAGCTGCCCTTCCAAACACCTTTATTATTATTATTTCCTTCACATATGTAAAACACTTCACCTTTGCAAAAACCCTTAACACCCCCCACTTCTGCTTTTCCCTAACCCCCAATCTAAACCAAGCCTTCCTGTTGTGTTCTTTCCAAGCATCCTAGACTTTCCTTGAGAGCACTTACCTCCATTTGTAATTACACATGCCTGGGAGTATTTGTTTAAGGCCAGCTTCCTCCATGAGTTGGTGGGGAAACAGGCTGTCTCCCTCACTAGCCCTGTGAGCTGCCAGAGAAGAGCAGCACCCTCAAAGCAAAACAGGGCATCTGTGTACAGTAAGTACTTGACGATATTGTTCAAGGCAGAGATGCTTGAATGAGTCCTTCTAAGACAGCCAGCTCTTCTGAGACAGTTTGTGTTTATCAGCAACAGAGCAAGAGAGAGATGAGTGTCATTCCAGAACCTTCTTCAGGACCCCCAGCAGTAGCCCCAGAAAAGGCACTCAGAATTGCCTGTCCCACCTTTTTATCAAAATAGCACGACTGTTAAAACAGACAAAGAGGGCCCCCATTGCAACATTTAAAAATCCTACCTTAGTCCTCTCACCAGACCTGTGCTTTTCACCACACCATTTGTCCTTTGTTAAGGGACAAAAAGTAGCAGAAAAAGAGGGGACAGGGAGACAGAAACCTGGTTTCTCTGTGTGCCTCCAAGCAAATCATATATCCTTCCTGGACCTCAATCTCTAATCTCCTTTTAATGCAAGGCTGTAATTACTGACAAGTCTGAATTTGAAGGTTAACAGAATGATAAAATTCAACAAGTATTTATTGGTACTTTCATTTGCAAATGGAAAGATAAAAGACTTCGTCTGCAGAGAAACCTCGCTACTGCTGGATCCTAGTATGCTTGTAGAGAAACCTGCAAATTCCTCTTAAAAATGTTGAAACACTCACACTATGTGAACGCACACTAAATAAGACGGCCTTGAAGACAAGGTTTGATTCAGCACGCATCTACAGTCCTGATTCGGAACAGAGGTGAGTTCATGCACAGCTTCAGAGAGCTCCTCATGGACCGAGGGACACACACACCTAAGATGGACCAACAGATAGGACAGAGTTGTACACAGGACTTGGTTTATAAATAAGGAGATTTTTGAGGGAGGAGAATGTTTTAGTCTACAAATCCCTTCTTTTCTAATACAAAAATAGAAACAAACCCACACACACACACACACACACACACACACACACACATTCACAAGGGTCCAACTCATGACGGGCTAGGAAATCAACAACCTCTAGATGTTTTCCCCAGATGATGCGTTAAAGAGCTTCAGGGTCCAGCTTCAAGGACCACAGTTTCTCCTAGGAACTTCACTGGGTCCCTCCTCGCCTAAAAAATGTAAGTTTTTGCAACTTATATAATTTTTAAATCCCTGAGTCTTCACTCGGAATAAAGCAAAGCTAGCTCCCTGTCTTACTCAATTACTAATTAACTAATTAACTTGTAAAAGCCTAGATTGAAGATTTAAATGGAAAAAAATAAGATGATAAAAGGATAAGAAGAAAATATAGATGTCTTTCTAAGACAGCCCAGAAACAAGGAAAAAGTCAACGTATTTGACTACAATAAAAATTAATTAATTTACCGTTACAACACACTCTAAACAAAGTCAAAAGACAACAACAGTGTGATAGTAAAAGGCTTGCCTCATATATGAGACAAAGAGTACATCCCGTGTACACAAAGAGCTCCTACACTTTGAATAGAAACCACAGCCTGATAGAAACACCAGTCCAGGGTAAGAGTAGGTAATTCACCAAAGAGGAAATGCAAATTGTCCATAAACATATGAAAAGATGCTCAGCTTCACTATTGGTCAGGGAAATGCAAATTAAATGTCAAAGAGATTAACATTTTTTGGTCTAGCAGATTGGCCCAAGTGTTAGTAAGGCTAGGGAGGGGGGTATTCCAGCCCCAAGAGTAAAAGCAATCCCACTCTTCCATCCTACAAGCAATAATAAAACAAATAGGTAAAGATATATAAACAAGATCGTGTGTTGCAGCATTGTTCACAATAACAAAAATATTGTAAACAATCTAAATGCCCAGCAATAGGGAAACAGTTGAATCTATTATAATATATCCATACAGTGGAATAACGTGCAGTCACTAAAAATAACGTGGTAGATCTATGGGTGCTGACTTGGAAAATGTCCGTGTGTATAAAGGGAAAAAAGCAAGCTATAGGCCAACGTGTCTGGCATTTTGGATAGATATGTCTACATAAACCCAGGAACAAATTTGGCGGAATGTGCAACAAGTTGTTACTAGTGGTTTGTTTTGAAGAATGGAGTCAGGCAGGTAGAGAGAGAAATTTTCCTCCTTATGATTTTTTTTTTTAAGCCAGAGGGACTATGAGCAAATTTAATTTTTTGTTTTGGTTATTCTTTTTCAAAAAAATATTTGTGTTACTTCCCAGGAAAGCTAATCATTAAGCTAATCATTGGGGGAAGTAAAGGATCCTTTTGGGAGCCTAAAGTCACCTCCAAAGGTCTTTGTCTCCCAGGCTTGTTGACATTGTTTCAGGCTAAACTGGTCCTGAACTGAGTCGGCTGAGAGTGGGTTCAAAGAGACCAAGATGGGACAAATGGGCACTGGTGTAATTAGGATTAGGAAGTATATGATGTTGCATGTGCCCAGGGCAAGACATAGATTTTTTTTGACTTCTGAAGCCGGACGAAAATTTGAGACCCAGCATCGGGAGAGTTTTGGGGGTGGGGAGTTTTATTGGTAATGGCACAATTATGTTTAAAGCAAAAATTATCCTCATTGAATGCCAATCATTTAATTACAGATTTAGAAAATGAGAAGGGTCCATCGTCCCCTCAAAGACTGTGATTTCGCATCGTCTGAGGCAGCTCAAGTGTCCGCCTCCACTAGGAAGCCTGCTCACAGGCTTCGTACATTACAGAGACTTGGGGGAAAGTCCTGAGATGGGGTGAGTAAAAATGCTTTGTGAACTGCAAACAGCTATGTGGCTGGAAGGTGCTGTTGTTGCTGTGGAGCTGAAATTCCCATTTACCTTATTTTCTTTATGTTAAAAGACGTGATGGGAGGCGGGCAGGTTGCTCAGGGCTGGGCTCCATGGGATGAGTAAGGGCAAGAGGCTTCCCATTTGTAAACTCAAGCTTGAGTTGTCAGCGCACCAGAAGTCTTTGCAAGGAGGGGAACCAAATCTTAGTGGGAGCCTGTAAGGGTTACAAGGAATTCTGACTCCAGATCCAATCTCCGAATCCATTTGGCACTGCCCCTTAGAACGAGCGTAACTTTCTAGATCCCATCTTCTGTTTCTGGGATGACTTTCCAAGCCCACTGATTTAATCTGGGTGTGTCCAAGATCTCCACTGAGGTTTTCAGATCTTCCCTTCAGGTGTTTGCACAACAGCTGGCTGATCTGCCCATTGATTCTTGCTAATTTCAATTTCCTTCAATGCTGGAGACACTCCCCATAGCCCCAAGGATTGCCCAGGCCCACCCCAGTACCTGCCTGGGGGCCCTTTTAGTTTCCTCGTGTTTAAATAGTAATCAGTGATAAACCCCATTTAATCTGTCCCTTTCTAGAAGCTGCTGCTTCTGGCCTGGAAAGTCTCTTTCTCTCTGCTTATTCAAATCCTTTCCTCAAAGATCAGCTGGAAAGCCTCCAGGAAGGAATACTAATCTTCTTTCCCCAACCCCACTGTTCCCTCCAAATCTCCATTAACCGTTGCTTGCCCGCCACCAACTAGCATAAGCCACCCCTGCTCTTTATCAGGTTCAGGTGTGTACGGCTCCTGAGCAGAAGGAACCTTCCCCAGCTCGCCTTTGCACCTTGCACGGCCTCTGCTGCAGTGAGTGGGGGAAAGAACTGACTTCTGAAGCCAGATGGGCCCGCAA